ATCCACTTCTGAAAGCTGCCCTCTGACCACCCCTTCCTGAACAAATACATGCAGTATCTATTTAATAAAGAGTTCCAGAGAGCAAGCTTAAGAAGTATTCGAAAGTGGGTACATATGGTAATGAACACATCTGTAATCCCACTTAAGGTAGAAACACAGTTCAAGGCCAGCCTGAGCAACAAGAGACCCTGTTCTCAGAGAGAGAGAGAGAAAAAAAGAAAAAACCCCAGATATTAAAATCAAAATAGATTCCCTTTCTAAAATTGGGCATAACAAGGCAAGATGTCTTAAGAAATAAGGCATTTGCCACCTAAGCATGGTGAGCAGAGTTGATCCAGAACCCACACAGCAGAAGAGAACCAACTTCTACAGTTATCCCAACTCTAACACACCCAGTATTCACTTGCCCTCCCTCCCTCACGTACACTAAATAAGTTCACATCGGAACTAAGACGCACGAACAAAGTTGGGTACACTTTGACATCCGCTTTGCTTATTATCTCTTTCTGTGGGCCCACCTCAGGAGTGCTTCCTCAGAAACTTCTACAAGAGCACCTCTCCCACCAGGCTTTAAGGGAAAGGCTTAGTCTCCTTATTTCCCACATCCCTCAGTACCTAGCAGTGCATTTTACAGAGTAACAAAACAGCCCAAAGATTTAAAGCTCTGTTAACCCACATAATCAACTAGAACACTCATAACTGAGCTGGTGAGCTGACAATATGTCAGGTTTTTATTTACAAAGCTATTTCCTGACTTTGAAACTCTGAATCGCATACATTTCAAACATATTGTCTACCAAAACATGACATTAAGAAGTGTGTGTGTGTGTGTGTGTGTGTGTATGAGAGAGAGAGAGAGAGAGAGAGAGAGAGGGAGGGAGGGAGAGAGAGAGAGAGAGAGAGAGAGAGAGAGAGAGAGAGAGAGAGAGAGGATGTGTGAGTAGCCCCAGGATGGCCTGGACCTCTAAACCCTTCTGCCTCAACTTCCCAACAGGGTGCTGGAAATACAGAATGTTTTGCTGTTTCTTTTTATGGAACCAGCTAGATTAAATTCCTAGGCTCAGGGGATCCCCCAGCCTTATCGACAGAGTGGCTACACCTAACCTGACTCTTTTTATTTTCCTTTGGTGGTGAAATCCAGAGCCTATGACCCAGGTAACCATGCACTGCAAAGCCAAGGAGGCAGCTTAGCTGGTACATGCTTACCCTGCACGTGTGAAGCTCGGAGTTCAAGCCCGTACACTCCGTAAATCAGGCTTGCTTCTAAGCAGGGAAGTGGAAGGAAGAAATCACGAGCTCAAGGTCACTCTTGGTCATCAAGGCCAACCAGAGACACCTAAGGCCCTGTCTCAGAAAGAACAAGAAGCAGAACCATAAAAGCACGCTCTCCACAAGTGCACCGCCACAGCCCGGTCACAGCTCAAAACATAAACACAGACAACGGATAGGTTTGGTACGTAAGAAACAGAACTGGGTATTGCTGCTACAGAGAACATAAAACGTCGGGGCGCTTCCACCTGGGAAATGTTTGCTAACACGACAAGCACACTGCAAACAGGAGCACCCTGTTGTGTGTGTGTGTGTGTGTGTGTGGACACTGCCCTGAAAAGGTAAGGAGCCTATGCCTCAGTCTCCTCTCACGGTGTGGCCCACCTCCTGAGGAGCTGGGATTGGCTCAGTCCCTGCCCCTGACGGAAACACTGCCATAGCAGTACGGTCTCCCACCAGTTCCAAGCCACCCCGCTCTAAACTCCTGCTCGAGGGTAGGGCCAGGCAAACTGCACCGCTGGATGAACTGTGGCCACCACCGGTTCTTGACTGGCTGCACTAGCTAAGAATGGCTTTCACATTTGTAAGTGGTGGCAGGGATTCAAGGAATCCTATTTCATGACACATGAAAATTATATGAAATTCAAATGTCAGTGTCCATAAATAAGGTTTTAATTGGAATGTTGCCACAACCACTCGATTAGCTGGTTTTCAGATGACAACTGTGTGACAGATCTTATAGCTGGCTAAGCCAACAATGTTTCCTACCTGGCCCTTTGCTTTGGAGAAAGTGTGCTAACCCTGGCCTAGAGCGTTTCTCTGTGTCCTTGGCTGCATCCTTTTTCTCAGAGCAGTCCAGTGCTCCATCTTGACAGGGCTTCATCTCGGGGCTGTGTGGTCCAAAGTTACATCATCTCTATACTACAGAGCAAGTGGCTGGAGTTGGGAGAAGACAAAGTAACAAGTTACTTGTACACAGAAGCCTAGAAAAGCCAGGAGGAGTCAGGAACATTCCAGGCCGCACAGCTCTGGCTTGCACTAGACTACCACATCCAGTTCTGGGTCACACTCCCGTGGAAAAGACTGCGGAGAATGTGGAGGACAGATGATTAAAAGCTGGAAAACCAGACCACTAAAAAGTGCTAGGCTAGGTGTGGCTACGGGAAACGGGTGGCAGCAAGTGTCACACCTAATGCACATAGTGAGCTCAAGCCAGCCCTGGTGCCATGACCCTGCCCCAGAAACAAGGCTCCTTTAGTCCCAGCACTCAGGAGGCAAAGTTGGGCAGATCTGAGTTCGAGGCCTGCCTGGTCTATAGACTGAGTTCCAGGACAGCAGAGTTCCAGGACAGCAGGGAATACTCAGAGAAACCCTGCAAACAAAGCTGAAACAAACCGGATTAGCTGACCCAGAGAGAGGTAAGGAAAGACCGGGGAGTGTACCCTGTATTTGCTGATATGTCAGATCCCTCCAGATGAAAATAATTACTGCCTGAAATACACTACAAAACACAGACATATCTCAAGAACAGGTGTGATACTGAAACTCTTCCCTGCATTAGCCCAACACTAGACCCTTGAACTATAATAACTGTCCGTTGGCACACAACTTTAATTATAGTTTTGGGGAGCCAGGGGCAGGCAGAATCCATGGCCAGGCCAGTCAGGGCTACTCAGTGAGACCCTATCTCAAAGTAAATAAATAAAATAATAAATTTCGTTAATAAATGTATATGAATATAAACTCACTTGTTAAACACTGTACAGCATCTTCAACACACCCATTTAGGAAATATCTGGCATTAAGTTGCCAAGAAAGGTGCTGCATTTTCAAGATGTCAAGTAACTAAAAGGCAACGCAAGTTTTATAAAAGCACACTTTCCAGGACCAAACAGGGAAAGGTAGGCTTAAATTACAGTGTGTGTTTTATTGAAGGATATTATATCTACCTAAGCCATTTTAATTACTCTAACACACCATCTGAGGGTAAAGGACTCTTTTTCCAGGCTACTACTCATTAAGAACATTCTGGATCTAGAGGGGCAAAGATCTCAGACACCCAACTCTGTAGATTGTTATTCTAATCTAGTCCCTGAGTTAGAGTCTGCAGCCCATGCTCACTTTCATTTTGTCTTGAAGGGGGTTCAATACACCTACTGCTGCAGTTGAAAACTAACCTTAGTTATCTCCAAATGGAATTTATTATAACTGCAATTACAACTTTTCCCCCCAAAATACAGCGATAAGGGCCATATTCTCATTAAGCATATAGAAATGAAATGGTATGTTGGGACAGAGTTCCAAATTTCTCTGTTCCTGATTGGGGCTAAAATAAGTACCCTGCTATTCCAACACCTGAACAGTTAGTAAGTAATCAAAAATGCTCCAAGGGGTGTCTTTCCTATTTTTTTTTTTTTTTAAAAATACAGAATCCATGAACACAAAATGTTCCGGAGTCAATCCCAATCTTGCCATCATTAGGTATGCAAATTCCCAAACTTGCCCTAAGCATATGTTAATCAATGAGAGTTTTACAACCTCGAAAACCCACGGTTTGTATTTCCCTAAGAATGCTTTTCCTGGGTGAAGCACACCCTAGGAGCGGCCTCCACAAACTTTCTCCACTGCCAGGACAGCTACCCAGGACTTGAGAATCTCAAAGTCACGTCTACGGCCTCCCCTTAACCGCGGTGAAATAAACTTTTTCCTAAGCCGGGTGACTACTTTTTAACGGAAAACCTGCGGTAGTGAAACAAAGAGCAGACAGCCCCCTCCCCCTTCCCAAACCATATGGTAGTGAATTCGAGTTAACTTCTTTTCCGCCGGTCCACCGCCTGTCCTTCGGCCCGAATTAAACCCCCCGCGCCTTTGTGCGGCGGGGCTGGGCCGTGAGCGGTGTGGCGGGGCTCGCAGCCACCGAGCCCCGGCGTGGTTCCCCAGGGCGCCGCGGAAGTCCAAACGCCCCCCGGCCGTGAGGCCGCTGCGGCGGGCAGCGCACGCGGGCGAGGGCCCGGGGCTGGCCCGGAGCGAGTTCCGCCCCGACCGGGTGACGGAGCAGGGAGTTTGCTCGCCGCGGCCGGGCTGGATCCGCCCCGGGAACTTGGCTCACCCGAGCCCAGGGACGCGCCGAGGCCTACCGCGAGGCCGGCCGAGCTGCAGTCGGCGAGGGCTGCCCGGGCCGCGGCGGCGCCTTCCTTCCCGCCCGCCCGCCCGCCCGCAGCCCGCAGGCCCGGCAGCCGCTCGCCCTTGGCCTCCGGGACCCCGGACGCGCCCGCCGGGCCGGGACCCCGCTCGCCTGCGGCGGCCGCACGCCCGCCCCCCGGCTCGGCCACCGCGCCGGGCTCTTCCGGGAGCCGCCGCAGCTAGGCCGCGCCGGGGCCCCGCGGTGCCCTCGGCCGGGCCGGCCGGGCCTCGGCGTCCGGTATGCGTCCCGAGAGCCGGGCTCCCGCCGGTAACGGGCCGCGCCGCTCCCCTCCCCCCGCCCCATGACGGTGCAAAGCCTCGGGCCGCCCGGCCGCCCCGCCTCCGGCCCCGGCCCGGCCCGGCCCCGGCTCCAGGCCCAGCTCGGGGCCGCCGCTCCCGCTCCCGCTCGCTCTTCGGGCCACGGCCGCCCCCGGCCCCCGGCCCCGCCGCTGCCCTCGGCAGCGCCCGCAGCCCGCAGCCCGCAGCCCGCAGCCCGCAGCCCGGGCGGGCTAGGCCGAGGCCGCGGTGGGGGCGGGGGCGGCCCTCACCTTCATGTCGGGACATCCTAGTTCAGACGCTGGCGGCGCGGCCCCTCCCGGGCTCCCGGCTGCAGTGCGCCCCCACCGCGGGCTCCCGGCGCTGCCCGCGCCCAGCCGGCCGACTCCCACTCGACTCCCGGGCTCGGCCGCGGGGGCGGGGTGGGCAGGGGAGCGCTCCCGCGGCGGCGGCGGCGGCGGGGAGGCGGGAGGCGGCGCGGGGCGGGGATGGGGCCGGGCCTGGCCGGGGCTCAGCTCCTCCAGGAGGCGGGTCCGACGCGGCCGCGGCTCCGCCGGCGCCCGCCGTGACTCGGTCACTCTCGGGCCCCGCCGGCTCCCGGCAGCGGCGGCGGCGTCCGCAAATCCCGCTCGTCCCTCCCCTCCCCTCCCCCGGCCCCCGCCCCCCGCCCGTCTCCGGCTCGGGCCGCCGCCTCCCCTCCCCCTCCTTTCCTTCCTCTCCCTCTCCCTCCTCCCCTCCCTCCTCCCCCTCCTCCTTTCCTTCCTCCTCCTCTCTCTCCTTCTCCCTCCTCCTCCCCTCCTCTTCCTCTCCCTCCTCCCCTCCCTCCTCCTCCCTCCTCCTTTCCTTCCTCCTCCTCTCTTCCTCCCCCTCCTCCCCTCCCTCCTCCCCTCCCTCCTCCTCCCTCCTCCTTTCCTTCCTCCTCCTCTCTCTCCCTCCCCCCTCCTCCTCCCCCTCTTCCTCCTCTCCCTCCTCCTCTCCCTCCTCCCCCTCCCTCCTCCTTTCCTTCGTCCTCCTCTCTCTCCCTCCCCCTCCTCCTCTCCTCTTCCTCCCCCTCCTCCCCCTCCTCTTTTCCTCCCCTCCCTCCCCTCCCTCCCCTCCCTCCTCCTTCCGCCCGCCCGCCCCGCCTCTCGCCGCCCCGGCCCCGCTGCCACGCGTGGGGAGGACGAGGAGCCGAACGGCCGGGAGTCGGGAGAGGAGGCTTCCCCAGCGCCCAGGCGCGCGGCGGCCGGGCCATCGCGGACCGCCCGGGACGAGTGCTCCGCCACAGCCGGGACTCGGGAGGGGCAGGCGGGCGGCCGGGGCGTGCGGGGCCGGGGCGGCTGCCTGGGCTCCGGGGCTGCTTTGCTTTCCGCTCGTGGATGCTTCTCCGTGTGGCGTGTGTGCACGTGTGTATGTCCTTTCCCCCAGCCTCCTCACAGCCAACTTTCTTTTCAGGCATTACCAATTCAGCAAAAACTGGAGACTGCCCCGACCACGTGTCAGTCAGGGCTGGCAGGGAGAGCAGATCGCGCCCTGGAGTTAAGACCTGCCCGGCCCTGGGACTCTGGTTCTGATAAGCACGGTGGTGTAACCTTGGACTAGTGGGTTCACCTTGCGGTGCCTCGGCTCTTATGACTTCTTCGCTTTTGGTAGTGGATTTTGTCCTTGTCCACTCGAAAGTAGACAAAGTTCCCAGCTAAGTTTACTCGAACTGGGTTCCAGAATACTGCTTGCTCTGCTTTGGCGGTTTTCCTGATCTGCCCACCCTCCGCTGACTGTGTGGCCTGTTTCAAGCGTTGATTGATTGCCTTGGCTTCGGCGGCTTTCTGAAAGGGCATACCAATAGATACAGAAGAAGAGGTACAGTACCAAAATGTAGCATGCAAGCTGCCTAGCAGAGGAGGGACCCTGTTCGTTACAATATTTTATTTAATATGATTTAAAATACACCTGTTTTAAAAAATATATTAAAAGGTTTAATTCGAGGAAATACATAGTAGATCACCCCCATCTGTTATCACTGAGAAATAAGCCAGGCTTTTTAAAATTTTTTTCTGTGTTTTAACTTGGGGGTTTTGTTCTGAAACAGAACCTCATACCTCATGCAGCCAAGCCTGTCCATGACTCGATTATGTAGCTGAGGATGACCTTGAACTCCTGATCTTCCTGCCTTCCCTACCTCCCAAGTTCTAATATTACAGGCAGCTTCCACCACACTCCCACCTAATGTGGATTTAAGTGAGGACTAGATCACCAGAAGTATTCCCGTTTGGTGTATGGAGTCCCCCACATGGATGTTGGAGGAAGCTAAACAAATAAACAAAAGTAAGGTAGAGGAAGCAGGGCTTGTAGTTGGCCTGCCTAACAACGACACCCTGTTGGTGGGTAAGATCCTTGGCAAGGATTTGGCAAGTTATTGGCAAGGGATTTTGGGTATCAGTTCAGTCCTTGAACTTCTTGAACTGTGAAAATCAGGCTAGCCGCTTTTAACAGAGCAGTTACACCACTTTCCTACGTGGTGATTTCATGTAACTCTACATCAAAGTTTTTAAGCATTCCCGTAAAAATGCTGGAACAATTAGGGTGGCCAAGGAAAGCAACACCTCCAGAAAGGAAAACCAGTAAGTGTGAAAAATTGGACATGAAACTAGGAGGCTATTTAGGAGCTGGGAGGTGGCATGCGCTCCAAGTAGAGGAAAAAGTTCCGATGAAGCTCTGTTTTATGGACATGAGTAGTGCTAAGGCAAAGAAACACTGAATGACAAGTTTCAATGAGTTGAAGGATTAGTTAGCCAGTCTTGTTCTGTCTGACCTCCAAAGAACTACCATCAGTTTTCTGACAGCGATTCACTGTTTTCATTGGGCAAAAGTAAGAAAATAAGCATAATAAACTTTTCCAGTAAATTAGACTGGATCATCACCATAGCTATGAGGTTTTATCAGCTTCAGTCAGTGGTTGGGCCTTTAAGTTCAAAACAAAGCAAAGCTCAGCCTCCTCAGAGTAAATCCTATAAGTTCTGCTCAGAAAGTGGAGGCCCAAGTTCCAGGCCTGGACTGCCTGGGTAACTGGAGAAGCTTGCTCTTGAATTCAGTCCTTGGGACCCATGTGAAGAAGGAGAGAGCAAACGCCTGCACTGTCCTCCAACCTCCGTGCTCATGTGCTCACACAAAATTCAAGGCCTGATCCTGCCTCAAAAAAGCAATAATAAATGTAAATAAAACAATTTGTTTGCCTTGCTGCCATGTGGGAAATGCCATTAGGAAAAAAAAAAATTACCAGCACTCAGGAGGCAGAGGCAATGGATCTCTGTGAGTTCAAGGCCAGCCTGGTCTATATAGCAAGTTCTAGGACAGGCTCCAAAGCTACACAGGGAAACCCTGTCTAAAAAAAAAAAAAACAAAAAGGAAAACGGGGGAAAAAGTTACCTTATGTGTGTACTTGATGTGGGTTCAAGGTCAACCTCTGGACTACAGACTGTTATTGTGTGTATTCTTCATCCAAATTGTTCAGTAAATGAGCAATTCTATTTCTATTTAGTATTCTCCTGCCTCAGCTTTCCAAACTCTGGGATTATAAGCACAAATCACAACCGCTTACAAGATGTTTTTGTACCCCAGGTTAGCTTTGAATTCTCCAGATCTTCCTGTCCCCATCTCCCAATGCTGACTTGTTTCCCACCCTTGAAATGTTTCCCCCCAGCAGTCTCTCTCTATACCTCTTTGATCTGTCCTGTGTCACTTGTAAGGGACAAGTGTCTTTACCAAGCTAACCTATGTGCGTTCATGAATGGCCCAGCTGTGTTCTTTAAAACAAGCAGTCAAATACATTCTAACGAGATTCAAATAAAGTCTGCAATCCAGCACATAATATCTTCCCCGTGTCAGTTTTTAGCCTTTGTGTTGTTCTGTAGTTGTGCAAGATGATAAGATTTGGGGGAGTGAGCCAGGCATAGTCGTGCATGCCTTTAGTCCAGCGCTTACAAAGGTGTCTCTGACTTCTTGGTCTACATTGGAGTTCAGGACAGCCAGAGCTACATTTTAAAAATGACGGGGGGAAGTGTCTATGAGTCCTCTTAAAGTATGAAATTAAATCACATGGGCAGTTACATGTAGCTGAGGCTAAGGAGCGAGATTGTCTATTGAGAACTTCTGAGATGATGGGAATATTCTGAACTATGATTGCAATTCCTTACATTGCTGGATGTTTGTCAGAAGTCAGAACTGTACCACATTAAAACTGTCTTTCAGCAAGAGAATAGTGTCTGGGCAAAATGGCTCAAGCCTACAATTCCAACACTCAGAAAGCAGAGCCAGCACAATTGTGGGTTCAAGGCCAGCCAGATGTGCATGTGCTCCAGGCTATCTAGGGCCACATATGAGGTCCTGCCCCGCCCCCCCCCCAGTAGGACTAGAGAGATGGCTAACACACCCACATCAGGTGGCCCATCGGCATTCAGTTCCAGGTGATCCGATGACCTCTACACATGCCTGCACATGCATAAATAAAATAACCTCTGTGGGGTTTGTTTGTTTAAGAAGGAAAAAAAATCTCAGCAAGTTCCAGGCCAGCCAGCCTCATCAGGAGGTGTCTCAAAAGTACTTTTAAAAAAACAAAAGAAAGCAAAGCGAGAGTTGGGTGTAGTGATGCCCGCCTGGCCCAGCACCCGGGAGATGGCACCAAGAGAAAACCAGGTTAAACTACACTGATGCCCTCCCCGTCTCAAAAACAACGGAAGCACCGAGGGGTCTGGGGGATGGCTCAGTGGTTAGCTGTGCTTGATCTTCCAGAGGACCTAAGATCAGCCCTCCTCAATGCCTGCAGCTCTAGTCCCTGGGCATCTATCTCTTCCCCTCTTCTGGCTCCCCAAGCATCGGGACACCTGTGATGCGCACATAAACTGAAACTTAAAAAACCAACCGTGAGCTTCTGTTGCCCGTAGAATGAGCCGTAGTGAACTGTGTAAGGCCGGATGTATTTTCTAGCCTCTTGACTTTCTGCCATGACCCTTTGCCTGCTTCTCGGGTGTTGATTCCTGCCTCTGGGCCGCTGCGCCCCTCTGTTTATTGGGGATTAGATAATTCAAGCCCCAGTTCAAGTTCGTATTCCCTGTACCTTAGTAAGTTTTCCTGTCTTTTCAGCTTGCTCCCCTTCAAGCTGTGTGCTTATGTTTCTCATGCTTTCATCTCCCTGGTAGACTCCTCTGGGGTGGGGGCAGGGAGCACAGCACCTCCTTCCTTCACCAGGATCCAGTAGCGATGAATCAGTGGATCCATCATTTGGAGCCCGGATGAAGCGGGATCATAATCACAGGTGGCAACAATCAGGGACAGGGCCTCTCCATTCTGGGATGCGGTGAGGCTCTGAGATGGCAAGACAGGCCCGTTTGGGAGCCTCTTGCTCGTTGCTTTTTCCTATCACCTTGGGATAGGGTGAGTAAGCGGCTGGAAATAATTGACGGAGGCTTATAATATTTTTCTTTTTCCATTTGTTTGATGTTTGTGGCACACATGCATATGTATGCATGTTTGTATGATGTGGCAGCACATACATGTGTGTGGAGGTCAAAGGTTAAGGTCAGAAATGTTCTTCAATGGCACTTCCACCGTAT